GCCCCCTGCTCCAGCCGCGGGCAGCTGCTTTAGGACATAAGAGCCCATTTTTCAGTTGGTAAATATGAAGGATATTGTATTTTTAGAGTTTCACTTTCTTATTAAAAAGAAAATCACCCGATATCCATATGAATACAGCACGTGTTAGAGCTCATCCTTGATTTCTTTGTAAGTTTGCTCATCTCGAAATTCTAGGAGGGTTGAAAACAGGTGGCGTTCGTTAGATGAGAGTTTGGGAAGCCCATTGTGGAGAAGGAGCACATATAAAATAAAGTAAAAATTGAAACAGAACAATATTCTTGAATCAGCAACTGCCATCCTCCCTTTTCTGTTCTTTCTGGGCCCAGTCCAGTGGCCCTAGAAGAATAATGAAACACCGTAAGGACGAGGAGAAAGACAATTCATAACAGACGACTTCTTCTTTAGATTTCATGTTTCAAAACCAAAGACAGGAAGTATTGGGGTAAGTATACTGAGACGCATTAATGTATAAGACGTAAGTTTTTAGCAGATGGGAAAATGAAATCTATGCAAGTAATAGAGCCTTGGGAACTTGACATTGTTTGTATGTTATTCTTTAGTAGTTGGCTGAATACATATTTCAATTATCCAAGAAACTATACTAAATATTATACCGAAAAAAAAAACTAATTTAAATATAGACATACAGAGTTCTACAAATATGTTTATTAAACACTCCTTCCTTACCCTAACCCCAAAAAACAATGAATTTGGTGTATATTTGTTGTATACCAAAAAACTGATGACCAAAAGACTGTCTATATAAATAAAGAGGTAAATGCATATTTACTTATTTGCATCAAGGGACTCTCTTCCTTTCCTGTCTTTTCAAAGTGACCGCTACCTAAAATATCCAGGTATTTGAAGCAAAGTCTTAATCTTTTACATTCTGGAAAACATCTTATTTGATCTCGTGTAGAAGCTTAGCTCATTGTGAACATGTAAGAGGTTTACAGAAATGATTGATTGATTGCTTTCTTGATGACTGGTTATTGCTGGGTTGATTCTAAGAAAGGAAAATAAGACTTACACGTCCATAGCCAGCAAGTATTCACATCCATTAGAACATGCTTTGGACTGTTTTTCTAGGAATGGTGAGGAATTTGATCTATCTGATTGATCAGCTCTCTAGCTAGCCCTTCTATGACCAGTATTCCCCCCTTTCCTTTACGGTAGGGAATGCTGAGGAGCATGTCAGAAATTTGCCACAGTTACCTACTCCATGTTTTCCTCCAGCCAGCTGGCTCATCTCAACATTGAACTCAAATGCAAGAAAGGTGCAGAAAGCTAGCATGGGTAACAAGAAGTCTTATAGACTTCTAGTTTGTCTATAAGAAAAGAGGTATATTAGAAAGGGCACTCTTTTGAGAGTATAGGTTCAAATCCTGCCACTGCCATTTACTAGCTGTGCAACACTGGGCAAGTTAAACTTAATTTCTCTGGCCTCTTGTATTTTCACCTTTAAAATGATATCAAAAATATACAACGTACAATTGTCATGAAATTAGATGAATATGTGCTATTAATTGGAGGAAGGATTGAGTGAATGAACTAGCACGAAAGTCAACTCAAAATATACAAAACATATAAACATATAAACATGTCATTGTAATTGAAAGGCGGCCAATCACAGTACTTGTAGCAATGTGCAATGTGTCAGGGATTTTCCAGAGTAACTCTTTTATCATGTTTTCATGATAAAGATATCAGGGTGCCTTAAATGGGACTGGTTTAGCTAAGCTCAGATCGAATGAACAAAAAGAGACCAGTCAAGATCATTATCTTTACTACTTGCTCTGGAATGTATTTCTCAAATATGTATTTACATGAATGCATAGTTGTAGCTCACTCCCACAAATACCTACATACCCCAGTGATCTCCTATCTCCCCTTGGCCCCAGTGCCCTTTTCGTCCAGATATTTTCCAGTGACAAGGCTCAATGCAAAATTTTCCTTTCCCAAGCATTTAGGGCACTCCCTGCAAAAGTTCCCTTTCCTACAAAGTGAGGGCCTACCCTGGCCCCCAGACACTCTGACATTTATGTGTAGTCTGTGCTGTAGAGCTTTATCTTGAATTTTGTGAGGCTGGGGAAAGGAGATGGTCACAGTTAGTGGAAGGGAGAGGACATCCTGCTCATTTGGGATTTTGTCTTCCAGAGCTCTCTCTCCATTTTCCTGGTTCCATCAATATCAAGGCCATTCTCTTTCAGGCCTGGTGTGTGACAGATTATTCACATCTGTCCTGCTGTTTCCCTGATGACTGTGTATGCTCTGCTAGTTTTATAAGCCTAAGAGAAAAGGAGATTGATTAGAACTGGAAGGAGGGAGGAGGAGGATGCTGGAATACCGGAAACAGAGGTGGACGAGCAGCCCTGTGTGGGACACCAGACCCCTTCTAGGGAGAAAACCTACATGGAGGATTGGTTAATGAAGATACTCGATATACACACACCCCTTCTTTGGCTGAAATAATAGCAGCTGTTGCTTTTTCTTTCAAAGGAAAAGGCCAATATATAGAGATTGGTGAGGCCTCTCATTTGACTATCGAGTCTCCCTCTGGAGTCATTGGAAAAAAAAAGTGCCTCAATGGTTGCCTTCAGCTATTTTGGAATTAGAAAATACAAAGAAAATACTTCATAATGGTTTTTATTTTAAAAATTAAACAAACAAAACACCTGTAAACTTTGTTTCCTAGGTTGATCGCCCTATAGCTGTGGATTCTGGGATAACTCCCCCCATCCCTCTCCCCTTGGGGAAGGAAAGCTAAGCCCCCTCCTTTGTTTGTCACTTTGGTTCCAGTGCTCTGCCTTGACTACTTAGTGCTCTCTCGGAATAGCTATAGGTCGACAATAGTGGGCAGAAGCGTCAGAGAAGAGTTGACGTGAGAATGGACCAGCACTACAGAATAGAAGGCAAAACGGAAAGAAAGAATCTCTGAGGAAAAAAATACCCCTGCCTAGTACCCCCCAGCAGAGATTCCCAGCCTACTGGGCCCATACAACTCACCAGCTGAAGAACTGCAGTCTTCAGGGGTGACAAACTCCGGCAATGAAGGGAAA